TCGCGTGTGCGGATTTTATGTTGTTGCAGTTTTTACTCTGCATTTTGCATTTTCTGTGTTTCGCGTCTCCATTGCACATTTCCATATTTAATTGCGCATCTTGATAAAAGTGACTCCCCCTTTCCTCGCTGCCTCGTTTTTCCAACAGCAGCAACAACAACAACAACAACGTTTTGCTGTTGACATTTTCAATGCGAAATTATGCGACACGGCAACTCTTTTTCCTCCTTGTTCCACTTGTTCCTCTCCGGTTAGCGTTTTCTTTGTTATTCATTAGCTGCCGTTGCTGTTGACCTCAATTTTTATTGCCTGCCACGTTTTTAATGTCGCGTGTCGCTGGCTATGGTTTATTTTTCCTTTTTTCTGCCTTAGTTGCGATGATATGGTTCTTTTTTATTTTTAAGCTCTTGAGCAACAGGTTGTTGAACTTTAATTTGGCTTTAAAAAACTTAATTGAGACATTTAAATGTGTAATTCTTAATGGGATTTACGTGAAGCAATAACTGAACAAGAAGTTTAATCACTCTAATCTTGGTAATTCGTTTATTCCTATTTAACTCAACATAAAATCCCTATTTAGGTTATCAAGTTAAACGCAAAGAATGAATACAAATTGCACAATAGTCAGCTTTTCTAGTAACCCAACAGTGTAAGCCCTCCCACATCCATTATTACCCATGGCAACTTTATGACTCTGTTGTCAAAATGTTTATCTAACACTTGAGAAGCAGTGTCCATAAAATGATAGAAAAAAAACGCATTAAGAGAGCAAATAAACTTTTATTGAGATAGAATTCTCGTTACTAAAACAGATGTGCCCCAGCTTTATTTCCCTCCATGCACCCCCTGAAATCCCCCAACCCTTATACGAATGGGTCAACGCTCACTTTGAACAAATAGCCAACGACCGATCATAACGAGGGTGAGGGAGGGATTGGTGGGAGGGAAGGGTTTTATTTATAGAGAGGAAAGGAAGAACCAACATAAGCAGCTTGACAATTGTTTTATAATTATTTTATCATGGACGAAGGAAAAATCAGAAAGCGAAACAAAAAGGATAAATGAGTAAATACCCTGCAATACATTTCAGAGAAGTTGACTAATTTTTTACGCCTTAGAATTTATTTGAATAACTATTTAATTTTAAGACCCAGAAAAATTCCTTGTTAATTTAATGTGTCGAAAAACAGGGGAGACCCAATCTAAAGATAGTATTTATTATATAAAAATATATATCAACAAAACAAATTAATCAGGCAGCTTAAGCATTAAGTCAGAACTCAGATCAATGACTTCAAATTTTTAGAGATTTATTATATATTGTAGAACCTTACATGCCGCAATGGGAAATGCCTGAAAGTAAATCTGCCAGAAGTTCGTTTTTCCCACTCGGTTTTTCCAACACTCCCGCAAAGTGGCCACTGAGTAGCGGGTAGCATAAAAGGAAAATTGCTTAATTTATGTGTCATTTATCTAAATGGAGCAGCGAGGCAAGAGCAATGAAAGCAAAGAGCCCAATGACGCCTGCTCCGTCTCCGTCTCCCAGTGTTATTTTTATAAAGCTCCGCGATAAGCAACTGTCAGTCGGTGCAATGAGGGCCAAAGGGGCCGAGGGCTGAACTGGAATGGGCAGCGTTGTGGTGCCAGAGTAATTAAAAATCTTCAACTCTCGTTGTTTTTGCTGTCTTTCACTGGCGACAATAATCGCCGACAGTGAGTGCAAAAGAGACACACAAAGGGGCACAGAAAACAGAAACGAGCAGAGGAACATGCGATTAAAATTTTAAATGACAGTTGACAGTTTCATCATCAGCATGTGTACAAGAGTTTTACATAGATATGAGGCAGATAGTGCTGCGGCGGCACAAGGGGCTTCAGGGGGTTAACGTCGACAGGAACTGGCGAGCAGGTGAAATGTCATATGAGATTGACTTTACGACGGAAACCAAAAGGCTAAAAAAGGGGAAACTAATGAGAGTGAACATGTCACATGCAAAAGATGATCTCTTGATAAAAGTGTTTTTGCTTGTGGAAGCGGTTAAGAAACATAACATTCTAAAATTTTAAATATATATAGAAAATCTTTTGGGTCTTTCTATTTTTACAGTCAGTATTGTTGATTTTGTTAACCAGTTTGTTGATAGTAAGCCTACCTAAATGTGTTAAATTGTCACCCAAACAACAAAATTAACCGACAAAGAGTTGATCTTCGATAAAATTCATTTTCTTAACCCATTATAACTTAAAAGTCAATCATCCTAATATAAGAAATGGTGCTCTACAAACGCAGTTTTATTTAATATATATAATTTTTGTGACAATTTAAGTAAACTGTAAAACTTTTGAGTAAATGCAAAGAAATATAATCTTTGCTTGTAGTTCTTTAATACCTCTTTACTTCATTGTATACTTTCTTCAAGATGTAAAGAACAAGTTCTTAATGGGTTAACCGCCTACTCGAACAAAGCTCGAACTTTGTTTCGTTTGTTTAGCCAACTTGAAGTTGGTGTCTGCATTCCTGTATTTGCCCAGCAGATTAACACCTTCGAGAGTGGACAATGGACCCGAACTCAAATTGTATTACCGACCAGAACAAAGGCAACAAAAGCAGCTTCTTCCTCATAATGAAATGCAATGTGGCATTGGCTAAAAATGGAATTCTGATGCCAGCACTTCATCAAAGGAAGGACAAGGAGGCGAGGGAGAAGCCTTACTGACTGACTGGCTGACAGCTGAAAAAGTCACCTCGCTCCCCCTCCTTTCCCACGAGGAACCCGTTTCTCTCAGTGCAACATGCATTCCTCATGCCATACAAAACAATTGACATGCATTGTTGCTGCTGTTGCTGCTGTTGCTGCTGGGATGTTGCTGCTGTTCCCGATGTTGCTGCTCCATCTCTCAGTTCCTGGCAGCCTTTCAACTGCAGAACCTCAGAAATTGTCACAGCAACTTGTGCCGCTTGCAGTTTTCCAAAATGAAGCTGAAATAAGTGAAAAAGTACAAAACTGGTTTCTACAGATGCACAGGGAAAAAACCTTAAAATTCTTTAATTCAAAATTTGATGAAATGGTATAATACAAATTTAATTTTAAAACAACTTTTACAGGAAAAATGATAGAAATATTATCTATTTTTATATCTTAAAGTATAACAAATATCAACTAATTTTGTTAATATTTTTGTCCGTGTGACTTTCTGCAAAAAGGACACGAATAGAACTGGTTCTGTGTACAAGCCCTGCTCTTCATTTATCAATACTCGATCGGAGACCGAAAGTCCGGTTTCACTGCCTGGTGGTGCATTTCATTTGATTTCGTTTCATTCGGACTGCAAACCATTCTCAGGCTCAGATATAAATTAAGATCCATATCGGAAGGGAAACTGGAACTGCGATTGAGTCGGTGGAAATCGAAAGAAGCCAACGGCAGGTGGCATTTAGTATCGGGCTCTCGTTTAGATTCCGAATCATATCCAGCCCCGGAATTGTGATTTATATTCAATAGTTCTTTACGTGGGCTCAGCTCGTTTCTTATATATTCGCTTAAAATTTTCAGTTGGAAAGAATTCTTCTCTTTGAATTCTTCTACTCGGAGGATGTTGCAGACTGCCCGCTGTTATTTATTGTATTCGTTTATCGGCGTTTTCCCGGTTCTCAACTCGCTTAATTTGCCCAGTCCAGTCTTTACTATTGCTTTCTCTTTCCTTCTGGTTTTCACCTCTCTTTCTTACAAGTACGACTCTTGGTTTGTCAGCATGACATGACTTTTATGGTATAAAGTTATATTTCAGGCTTCCACTCGTAGATAACTTCAAAGGCAGGCGATTTGTAAAGGCGCCATCTGGCGTTGAGAATGCGAATTCAATGGCTATAAATGTCAGGCCATCGATGGGTTAAGGATTTATGTTATAGGCGGGACCATAAAATCGGTCTTATAATGTGTTTAAGTTCGGGACACGGTTCTAAGCAACTAAATCAGTGATTTACAATCCTTAATCATCAAAACTATTTAAATATTAAAACAAAACGATTTATTCCATTTCTTAAATCATAATTGCTAAAAATTGCATTTAACATAAATGCCCCTCAAAACTAAAAGAAACTAAAGGTGAACTGAAGCATTAATTGAACCCAACGAGGCGTGTCAAATTGGCGTGTGGCAACAGCCTGGAAAAGCGCGACAAGTTTCCGCAGAGAAAAACCGAAATTAACATGTCACCTAAAGTGGAAAAGAGCGAAAAGGCAGAAGCTCCAACGAGGGGCTAATCGATAATTTATGAGCGGAAATATGGCACGCCGAACGAATGATGGATTCATTAGGGGAATGGGCGATCGGGGGACAGGGGGCGGGGCAGGTGTGAGCTGGGTATACTGTAACATATTTATAAATAACGCTAATAAGCGGGGGAATCGGAGGGGGAGGTGTGAGGTGGGTCAGCTTAACCGCTCGTAAAATGTTTAAACAAGCGGCGCATTGACTTTGAACTGAAATTATAGGGGGAGAGGGGGAAATCGACGCTGCCGTTTGGGGTTATCGTTGGGTAAATATTTACCCTGAAAGAGGTACATGAAATGGTAAAATTAAACATTGTTTATCTCCGGCTCGGCTTTTTTCCCCGACTGCAATCAACAGTTATTTTCAACACATATCCCCCACAAGCGTTGACATTAAATATTGTTTGCGTTTCAAAGGTCGACGGTTTCACTTGCATGTGTCCTAAAAATAAGATTTTAAAAATATAGCAAACAAAAAGTCACTTAAGCTTAAAACATTTTCAATTATTGTCAATCATGGGGAATACAAATAAATTAATTTTTTATGGGAAACCATGTATTCATCTTAGTATGTTCTTGTTTCTTGATGAAGACTTTTCTGCTCCTAATACAAATTTAAAAATCTAACAAATTTTAACCCTTTTTTATCTTTTCAAATCTTTTAACAATTTTTTCTTATTCTTTTTTCATACAATATTATAATGATCTTTTAAATCTTTTCTTCCAGGCGACATCCTCTCTGGCGTTTGCTTCGTGGGCCAGCTGGACACGCACTCCTTGGGCGCCTTTCTGATCCTGCCCCTCTGCATTTACCTCTCGATCGGAGCGCTCTTCCTGCTGGCCGGATTCATCTCGCTGTTCCGCATCCGGACCGTGATGAAGACGGACGGAAAGCGGACGGACAAGCTGGAGCGGCTGATGCTGCGGATCGGCTTCTTCTCCGGGCTGTTCATCCTGCCCGCCGTGGGACTGCTGGGATGCCTGTTCTACGAGTACTACAACTTCGACGAGTGGATGATCCAGTGGCACCGGGACATCTGCAAGCCCTTCTCGATTCCCTGTCCAGCGGCCAGGGCGCCGGGCTCCCCGGAGGCCCGTCCCATCTTCCAGATTTTCATGGTGAAGTACCTCTGCTCGATGCTGGTGGGGGTCACCTCGAGCGTGTGGCTCTACTCCAGCAAGACGATGGTCAGCTGGCGGAACTTCGTGGAGCGACTGCAGGGCAAGGAGCCGCGGACGCGGGCGCAGGCGTACGTCTAGTATGAGACGGGTCCGGTGGGCGGGGCCAAGTCCACGCCCCTCACTCCCGATCCGGAGGCGGCCAACGAGAGTTACTTAGAGTTTAGCACATAGACAACCCCACTCCCCTCTTTCCCACAGAAAAAACCATAAAACCCCCTCCTGAAAAGCAGTCGTAGTTTATAGTGACTTTGTATAAAGTTCATCATCTACATATAACCCCAGAAACAAAACAAAAAACACAAGAACAAAATCAAAAGTTGACCCTAGGCTATTGTTTGAATTGAAAATATGTTAGTTGATACGAAAGCAAGCTTGTTGAACCAAAACTACGCATATAAGTTGAGAGACTCTAGCTCTAAGTCGAGTTGTATTCTGTAGGATATCATTGCTTTCGTGGTATACGAACTTTTAGCCAGTACGATCCTTCATTTCTTGACGCAAGTTTTAAGTTAGGTTCTGATTTTTTGAAAGCTTTAAATGTGCCCTACAGATAGTGAACGTACATATATATAAATATAGATATTACGAATATGGTATGGATGTTAGGCATTGTAAGGATGTGAGCCTCTGCTGTTCTATAGTAGATATTAGCGACCAAGGCTTCAAATTAAATTCATTAGTCACTGAACAAATACTTTTCGCCTACACACAGTAATTATGCATATAAAGTATACAATCCATACCCACAACAATTGCAGTTTGGCGCTCACATCTATGCTTCGTGTATGTATAAACAAAAGGGAAACCATAAACTATATAAATGTATTATGTAGCAATAAATGTCCTCCATGTGCTAAACTTAATGCAAATACGATTATTATAATTATAACTGTAACTCTAACTGTAACTGTAACACTAACTGTAATTGTATATTTGTTGAACTAATTAATTCTAAACGCGTAATGGAATAATTTTTAATTCAATTTTTAAATGACGTTGTAGTCATAGCACTTAAGTGAACAAACAAACGGAACACGTAAAAATTTTGTTGCCACTTTATGGAAATTTTTCCCCTCACTCTCCCCCCGCGAACTAAATAAGAGTTGAAACTGCCATTTAAATATTTGTAGAGAACCATGAAAAATCACCGAAAGGAAGATTCGCGCACACCGCGATGTTTGCCTACTGTTGAGCATTTGTTTTCAGCGCATTTAATTGAGTCCTCGAATTAAATTGGCACTAGTAATATGTGAAACTAAAGTCCAAGCCAGATTTGTGTAGCATTTAAGCTGATGGAAATGCATATTAATTATAGCAATTATCGATATTATCGGTGTAACATAGCGAGTGCCCAGCGGCAAGCGAACAATTATAAGTGTATAAAACAAACATAAACATACAGAACGTCATGAAAGCATCCATTGGCAAAAACAAACGGAAAATGCGAAAATAAAACTTTATTTTATTGTTAAAGACTGAAACTTTGAGCTGTGTTTTTATTCGATTGGGTAACTTTTCTGTGCAACTGGTGAAAGTCCGCATCTGAATTCCTTTTCAATTTTATTTTCAATGTTAACAAGAAGTATAAAATATATAAATATAAAATATATAAATATTGATATAACATAAATTTACGTTAACTCGTAAAAGATGTGACGATTTTGAGATGGCTGTTGAGTAGTTTCTTTAAACTTTTTTATAAATTAGCAATAAATAGATAAATCCAATTTAACGGCAGAATAAAATGTTGAAAATATAAAATATATCTAAGGAAACATATGGTAAAACGAAATAGCTTCCATTATGGTAAAACTCCTCTGCAAAATATCCTGCGCACATCGGATTGCAGAGCCCTGCGTCTGCAGATTGGACAGCGATGGAATCTTCTGATGGCAGTGTGGATGCAGACTTTCCCGAAGATGTGGCCACATTTTAAGGAAACCGCACGATGACGGCCCTGCAAAGTCCAGGGAGAGAGGCAGATGGAGCAGGTGATGTCCTCGTACATCCTGTTCATCCGCTCGTTAAGTCCGTTCAATCCCTGGCGAAGTTCGACGATCCCTTGCCGCAAGGACATCGCATTGTGATGCTCCACGGCCACGTGGTAAGATACTTTCTGCCGCAACTGATTCAGGATGCGAAGACGCTCAGTGTTGAACCACTTTACCTGACGTTTGAACATCTGCAGTCTGCGGACTTGCTCCTCCAGGTTTTCACTGGGCTGCTCCATCTGCTCCTGATTGAGGAAAAGCACTTCCAGGGATTGCAGAATGCTCAGAGTTCCCACCAGAGAATTCATTTGGCCCAGGGTCTCAGTGTTGCTCGACGACATTTTGTATTGTGATGACAAGTTATAGTAGATAGCTAGATGATAACCTTTTTATTATTATTATACTGCTTAGATTTAAATTTAAAAGGGAATCTATAAAGTTTGTGTTGAAGAATCCCTTATAATTTTAATATTCAGTCAGATTTGAACTCTACATTTTGGAAAATAATTGCTCAGTTAACTGCAGCAACCCCACCATTCAAGGCCCTCTGCAAGTTCTCATTTTTCTCACCTCTCTTTTGTTGGACCAAAACTTTTCCCATTAGAGGCAACTACACATGTAAGCGGACAGACAAACTATGGCCACAAGAGCAGCTCGAAATTCAATCATAACTTGCCAGCACCCAGTGGCCAAGTTCCATGGCCATTTCGCCCTCGCCCTCGCCCTCCGCCAAACACTTGAAACACATGGCCGTAAGCCTTGAAATTTACAGTGGCAACCAGAAATCCACGCCCATATAATTTTGATTACACTTGTTTTCTAAATACTCTCTCCCAGAAACCGCAAAAAACAACACAAAAAGGAAAACACGCAAACAAAAACAAAAGCGTACGAAACATATGTGTGCGGTGAAAAGGCCGAAATAAAATGTAGACTTAGACTCTACTTTTTGGTGTACTGTAACTGAAAATACACAGGAAAAAATTTAAAACAGAAAAAAGCAGATTAAAAACCATTTTTCCGATATAAAGAAAAATCATATTTTCAGACATTTGCATACCAAATAAATTCAAAGGCTTTTTAAAAAGGTTTTTCTGAAATATAAAAAGTAAATAATTTTGAGGTTTTTACATTTCCGCAGAATGATTTTTTTAAGTTCGGTAACATAAAGTTTTTGTTCCGTGTTGATTTCAGTCAGTCGCTAAGCTCCTTGACAACAAATTGCAGTTAAAATTTGGGCAAGTAGTTGGGGAAAATCACTCTAGCCGCCCACGCAGAGGGACATGTATTAAAGGATATGAAGGATATGGCAATGTTGTACAAAACACGTGTGCGATTTAACAACTACAACAGCCACACAGAAAACTTTTTAGCAGCGAAAAAAAAAAAAAACAAGAAAAAGAAACAAAACTGCAAACGAAAATGGAATCCAATGTTCGGCGGTGGGTTTTGTTGCGTTTTTATGCGACCGCCATAAAAAAGTTATTAATGTGTGGGTTTCGCGAATGTGTGTTTGTGTGTGGGTATGTGTGTAAAAGTTGGGGGAGGGAAAAGCTGAAGGGAGGCAAAAGGAAAAGCTGGCTGCACACGGCCTCAAAATGGCACGGGCGTGTGCAGGCGTTAATGTGGCACAAAAATATTTCAGTGCCAGGACGAATATTTTTTTGTTCGACTTGGGATATACTACAATGTGTGAAAATTACATTTAGATCAGCATATAGGGTATTTTTCAAAATAGTATTTAAAAAAAATTTGTCAGAATTTAATTTAGAGATTAGAACTACATATTTAGAAAGAGTATCCCATGTTCAGCTTTGGTTTCTTGTTAAGCTTGATTCTTTTTTATTATTTGCCGTGCAGTTTTGTTGCCGCTGAATGCGGGCGTGAAAATCATAAAGCAAAACATATGAGTAGATGTGAAGTTACTAAAAAAAACCATAAAAACGGAAAAAGAACTCGCGGCATTGGACGTGATGCCAGGGAAGAAATAAACGTCATTTTTGGACGAGGAATGTCGAAATGCGATATATTTGTACGGCTTCACGTTCTGAGCAGACAGGTCAGAGGTTTTAAATTAAGCTAGAGCATTTTTAGAAACCTATCAGAAAGCGAACAAAAAAGAAAGCCAGTTTCGGCAAACCGAAGGGTATATTACCTTGCAGTCATCACAAATATCGGGCAAAATAAATAAAGGCTAAACAACATCATGTTTTAGAATTAAAATACAAACATTTAGAGGTACACCACTTCAAAATCTGATTAAAATTGAAAAGTTTTGGACTTAGAACTAGTAAAATTTTGTCAATTTTCAGCAAACACATTTTTTTGGAAATTTGGAAAGAGATTGTATAATGCCGATTATATTTCTATAATTTAATATACATCTGGAGAACATTTAACTAGCATCAATAAACGCTTTAAAAGCACCCAAAAAAAAGTTACATTAAATTAATTGGCAAATTCGCCACGACACAATCGAGAGCGAAAAAAATTGTCCCGAGCGGAAGCCGCTTTGTGAGCGCCTGAGGGAGTTTTCAATTTAATTGCCATTTTCAATTAGGAAACTGCACAAACGGACCAACGAAGAATATGCTGCAGTTAGCTCTGTAGTTTACTTAATTAATGTTTTGCCGAGGAGGAGTTACAGGGATTCCCCAAGAAAGAACACCAAAATAGCCCAAAAAAGTATGCAACGGAAAAAGTTCGACAACAGAGAAAAGAGCACTCGGATAAAATTAATTAACTAATGCAAGCTAAGCATAAGATCGAGAATCAAATATTAACGGATGAATAGAAAATATTGAAATATAATTTTACTAGACATTGTATAAATATATTTTGAAAAGTGTTCAATAAGTGTAGTTTGTTGGGACCACAGAATTTGTTTAAATTTGTCAAATTTTTAGATTGAATTAAATATTTGAATTGAATTTAATATTTTAATAAATTTATAATATTTAAAACTTAAAACTTCTCAGCTTAGAAAATTCATTGGCTTAAAGGTTTTTGGGTCTACTGCACAATCTATTTTCAAACTGCGCCGCACAAAAATCTCGACAGCTGCGCTCAACTAGCAATGAAATTTCATTGCCGAATGGGGGGCCACCTCCCCCATAAACACGGAGTACCCTCCAGACTGCGCCAATTTCAGCTAGCCGAAATCACACAAAAGGCTGCAAGTCCACCGCAAACAAAAGAAAGTTAATTGCCAGGCCAAATAACAAGTCAGCACGCCGCCACCCTCACAAATCTGGGCCAAAATGGCTGGATTGCGGGGGTGTTGGCTCAATATTTGCCTTAGTTATGTTCTGGAATCGGAAATAAGGAGAGAAGTAGCTGCTAATTTTTCGCCGGGAAAAGTCAATTAAATTTTCCAAGCGGGGGAAAGGCTGAAAAACTTTTCGGCGCCGAGAATGAATAAATGATGGAGCATGAATGTCAATCAAAGTTAAGCGCTGCAAAATGAAGACAAACAATCGAAAGGGATTGATTGGGCGAGAGGAACCGAGTTGGAGGCCGGAATTAAATCCAAATCGAGATGAGTCATTGGGGCGGGAAAACCAGCTGCCATTAGTTCCAGGGGGTGGCATATATTATGCCCCCGGCCACGCCCACAAATTGATAAAGTTTCCCCGTTTCGTACCACCCCGCCCACCACCTCTCATTCGGCTAATCCAACAATGCCTAATGACAGTTGTCGAAAAGTTTTGCCCGAAAATCGATTCTAATGGCATCGCAAATAATCGAATCGAGTTGTTTATCGGAATGAATAGTTTTCCCGATGGCAGGGGTTATGCCGAAAAGTTGTCAAATTTTATAGTTATTCAGGGGGTGGCTGGCTGGCAATTTGAAAACATTTCAGCCCGATAAAGACCCCTTTTGCCCAACTTTTGTGTGGCTTATTGATAAAGTTGCCAAGCAGTCTCTCTCTCTCTCTCTTTTCCTCTCTCTCCCACTCTGTTGGCCATAAATCAGTTTGGGCCAAGAACTCCTGCTGAGTGGTTGCAGAGAGGTGAGTCTCCAATGGGACATAAACTATGCAGCAGGTGGCCCTCTTAAGGCTTTTCCTTTCAGTAATTAAAGCAATTGCGACAAAAGAGCCACAAAGCTGAAGCAGCATGAGGCCAAAAAGAAGAGGTTGGGCAGGCCCTAATCAGATTTATACCGCGGCAGGCAAACGAGTCAGCTTTAATTGACATAATTTCTTTTTAGCGCTTTCGAAATGTGTCAAAATTAGGTGGCACAAGAAAGAAGAGGAAAAGTGCCAAAGGCGAGTCTGTCAAATGGGAAACTTTTAAATAGATAAGGCAGAACCAAAATAAATGTGTCATAATAAATAAAATTAAATATAGAGTCAGTAATTATTATTTTAAAAATAAATGTATCGAATATTAAAATATGTAATAAATATCAAAAAAGATTTAATTAAAAAATATATTTTAAGAAATGTTAATTAATTAATTTACCAACTTATATTAACGTAAGCAGCCGATTTAAAAAAAAAAAACAATTTTGCTTTAAAACTGTAAAAGTTGTAACATTCAATAACGTTAACGGGGCCAATTAGGTAAATCATTACGTTTTATGGCATGACCTGCAACATTCATTACTTTTAAAGGCTCACGAAAATCACCACATTGTGCCTAAATAATTAAATGCCTTTCGCTTCACGTACTCCACCGAGATCCGTTGTCGGTGCCCGCCCAATCTCCCCAAAAACCTAATGAAAACCCATTGGGCTGTGAGTGATCTCATGTCGAAGCCAGCTGTCAGAGGTCGCCACCAATCGAGTTGATCGGCCAAACAATGGAGACTCATTAACGATCTTAAGAATACTTCTCCTGCCAGCCCGAATTATGCGCGGCCAGCGCAAATAAATAATAAATCGGGGTGGAGGAGCGGAAAAAAAAATATGAAAATAATTTTGAAAGGGGGAGACGCCATCATCGGCGAACAGTAAGGGTCGTGAGCATAAATTTCAAAATTGTTTCTTGGCCGCGGCGCGCGGCATTGATGAAGTACATCGCGATGGGCGGGGAGCAGAACTGGGGAGCCTCATATGCCACAGGGCAACTTATGGCCAAGAAAGGTGCAGATTGGAGTGCCACAGCGAAATAGAGTCGGGGAGAGTGTGCACATGAAGAAAATCCTACCTTGAAGGCAAAAGGTTTTCTGGAATCAAAAAAATATTTTAAATTACATATGATTCCAGAGCAACGTTCAAAAAAGTTCTTACTTTTCAGAATGGTAGTTTACACAAATTATCAAGCCAATTTTACATTTTACATAACATTTTACATAAATAGTTACATAAACTACAATTAATTTTAACAACAACTTTATAATTTTGTATCTATAATTTGACTTTTTAGATGTTGTTTTTTTTAACAAATACATTCTTAGTAATTTACATTACAATTCTAACTCCTCATTTTAACTAGCTTTGGTTTTTAGCACACCTTAGGAAAAATCTACTCTTAAATTCTTTGAGTGTAAAAGGAAGCGACGCCAAAGAGCCAGACCAGGAAACCATTGTGCTCGAC